TCATGGACCCCTGGTTGACAAGTCTTGCATTGGCAGTTTAGAACGTAACAATAGAATAGCATACATATCCTACGGAGAGCAAAGATAACTGCAACTTTGAATCAAAATAGCAAATTGCAGTTGCTATATATGACGAACCTGCGCTCACTATGAAGGTGATTAAAGAGAAAAAAGGTTCGTGTAAAGATGACACACTTATTCAGGACACTATAAATACTGAAATCAAATAGCAGCTCTTGTAACCCAAAACGTAATATATGGTGATCAAAAATAAACTGCTCATTTAGATAACTGACCAATGTCAGCATGGAATACCAATAAACATCTCAAATACTCTTTCAGATTTTGATCAAATGCACTGAAATATTCAAGTCGCCCCAAAATAAAATCAAGTAGTCAAATTAACCTTATGGCAGGATCCCAGGGTCCCATAAGCCCCCGGCTCTCGCATAAATTGTGTTCCCACGTCATTTTATGTCTGTTGAAGGCGAACGATACGGCAATCTATTCCTCTCAACGAGCTCTACAAAGTTTCAAAGTTTTGTTTCTTCTGCGCATTCGTCCACGCTATGCTTCGACGACATGACAACAGAATGATCCGCGCCAGGTGGGTCGCAGCGTTTATGTGCGCGGTGGGACGGAGTCGCCCAATTTTTTAAAATTAATTATAATTTTGACTTCCGTTTATTCGGGACCCCGGGGTCCCGCCATAAGATTCAAATCCTAACAGCGTGTAATGACGAATGATGAGTGCACACATATCCCATCCGATGACACCAACCTGTGCTTCCACTGAACTCGCTATGCAATTCTGATAAGTCTCTTTTGTCTTCAGGAGAAGCTGGCATCCATTCCACATCATCGCTCGACTTCCTTGTTCTTGATTTACTGGTTGGCTTGCTTACTTTGACGGGCTCCTGCACAGAATAAATTCAGACAATATTGCACATTAGATTTGTGAAAAATAGTACTTGATTCATATTTTGTGCAGTATTAAAATAATAATTTTTTGTCCATAAAGAATTAAGTAGCGCCAATCTATTATTAAACTATACAATTCAGATGTATACAGCATAATGGTTTGATTGAAAAATAGGACTATTTTACCCCACCTTGTATGCCTTTGTAACAACACGTCTCTTCTTCTTTGGGGCATCATCCTCTTCATGGTCACTAGCCGGTTCATCACCCTCATCAATATCAAAATCTGAATCCACCTCATCCTCACTGGCTGACACGTCCGACTTGAACTCATCATCACCGGATTCCTGCAAGGCAAAGCACACGCGTTCTCGATTGTATTGTACTGTTAGGAGAATTTCATATGCCCTCAGTCACCTGTTCTTGTCCAGGCTTAAGACTTAGTTCCACGATTATGTATTTGTATATTTACATCGTGGTCATGTCGCTTTATAAGAGTCCCAAATTCCTAAATTACATAATCCTAAAAGTAATCTTGATTCTGTCCACCCATAAATAAATACTGTATTCAACAGAGGGTGAAGCTTTAATGGTTTGGGATCGTAAGCCCGATTATTTTTTTCAGACATTTATGAAGCATCATTGCAGTAGTTTAAGAGACGATGTTATCAAAGCTCTCCCAAAATCGGGCCTTAATAAGTGGTTCGGTAATGGATTATTCACATTTGTATGCAGTCGTCGATGATCGGTTGAGGCTATCAACTTGTTAAACTTTATGAACATTGTTCAGCCACGGGTGAAGGAAACCCGGATTCGAACTCAGCTTAGCGGTGCCGGCTCAGTGTTATTTTGAGCCACTGACCTTGTTCAAGTGCAAGGTTTGTGATGCGCCCTGAACATCGCAATGTTTGTGTTGTTGTTGTAGCGATCACTCAACGTGAACTCAACTCAAATAACGAGAGCTCTTAACTTAATGTTACATTATGAGACCTCCTTGACCAGTAGCAAAATATAGTACTGTAATAGGTTTTTACCCTTTTATCTGGTACAAAAACTGACACCTTTATACAAGGGATCATTCTCATAGTGTAAATGCTTACCCTGCTTACCCTGAGCTCTCAATACTCTGCGTTGTAGCCGAAACGTCGTGAGAATTATTTGATTTTATTATGTTTTATTTTTATTATTTTATTACTTCCCTTCTACGTGACTTTACCGAAAGAACCAAGGTTTTTGAGTTGTACACATTTTGGCGTCATCTGGTCCAAAACCAATGGAGACTAGGCTCTAAGAAAAGCTGTCTCGGGTGTGGACCAATCAACTTCAAGGACAGTGCATATCATTATCATCAGAGTTGTTTCTTTTTGTTTGCATTTTGACTGCTTGTGTTGTGGTTATTGCAAACATGATCCCTAGTATAAAGGTGTCAGTTTTTGTACAAGATAAAAGGTAAAAAACTATTACGATATTAATGTTGCATTTCTGGCTCTTAGCACACGTGGGCGTAGGAGAGGACAGACGGGGAATAAAGGAACGGCTGCATGTGGAACACACGTTTATAACAATGTCCTGTTACTCTTTGGTTCTTTCGGTAAAGTCACGTAGGTAGAAAAAATAATAGATCACGACGTTTCGATCGCGACACAAGCAACCGTCATCAGGTGTGAAACAAACACACGAGGATTTCTACCTCCGTGACTTTACCGAAATAACCAAAGAGTATGGATTCCTGCAGTCACGAAAGCTTCAAATCAAGAATGCCCTCTTATACAATCACTCAGTGCGCCACTACTGCCACGCGCAACAACAATAATGTGATGTAAATGCACAATAAAACTCTGCTGCAAAAATGTGTCCACAAGAGGCCGCAAAGCCCGCGACGTCGCTCGGTCGGTACGCGGGCTCCGCGGTGCGCCAAGCGGCAGCGATATCTAGGCCAGACCGAGGCCGCAAGTGAGCACAGCGGACGCGTCCGTACGTCATTGAATCCGCCGTAGGTTGTTTTGTAGAAATCGTCGTCCTCCTCCGCGTCCAGCAGTTTGGACATCTTGTTGCCGGCATTTTTCCGCGGCTCTCTCGTCAACGACAAAGCCATCTCTCGGGCGGGAAAGGTTTGTTACAGAAGCTATCGTTTGAGTTGCACTTTCACTCAAAACAATCAGCGCGCCGAAGATGCGCGCTGCTACGGCAAGCCCGCGGTGGCGGAGGCGCTCGGCAGATTTTTGAAACGCGAAATTGGGGCGCTATTTTTTTTATCGCGATATCGCGTACCACGATAAGATACGATATTGACGCGCACGATATTACACAAACCTGTCAACACCTTATCAGTGCCCCCTACCTTATTACAGACCAATTCAGGCCGTATTGGTCACCCCGTGCCGCTTATAAATCGCAATGTTCTTCCTACAAAATCACAAACAAATAGACAAAAAATTTATCTTATTGTTTGAGTCTTTCGGTAAAGTCAGGTGCTGTAGATGGTTAAAAGAAAATAACAAAAAACTACGACGTTTCGATAATCATCCTCCTGATGACGGGCACTTGTATTGCGCCCGAAACGTCGTGATTTTTTTTATACCTACGTGACTTTACCGAAAGAACCAAAGAGTATGGAGACTCTTTGACCATTTGAAGCTATTAACATGCATTTTATATCACGTCTTTTCCCATTAAAAACGATAGTTCTATAATAAGCGTTAAAACGCGTTCCTTCGGAGTGGGCAGGTAGGAATTTGGTTGGACAGCGCATTCGTGCACGACAGACAAATATGCACGACAGACAGACAAATAATCCCTGGTGGGCAGTGTGGAACCTGTTGTTCCTACCTGTAACATTTTTAAAGCCCCTTTACAGAAGGTCGTGGGTTCAATCTCAAACGTGCCACGTCTGTTACGTGTGGAGTTTGCACGGCTCTCTCCTCGTGGACACGTGGATATTTTTGTTTTCTCATTTATAAAACAGGTATTTAGAGTACTAATATGGTTGAATCTAGATTTGAAGTTTTCGTGGCTGCAGGGATTCGTACTCTTTGGTTCTTTTATTTTATATCTACGTGACTTTACCGAAAGAACCAAAGAGTAATAGTATGGTTTTTCCCCTTTTTAAATCCTTTATATTAAGTTCACTTGCTTGCTTGCTTGCGCGCTTACGACCGTGCAAATCTTTCGGTCGTTTTTAACCCACTTCCCGTGATCCAATCGAGCTGACATTTTGCACACAGACTCGTTGTGCGCGACAATTTATTTTCGTGAAATTTTAAAAAAAAAAATTTCCACATTTTAGGGAAAAAAAATTTCATATTTAATTTAAAATACCAATGTGATAAAAATGAAACTCTTACTCAAGAAAAACAGAAATGAATAATTAAATAAAACCGATGCCACGCATATAAAGGATTTATAGTGAAAAACTTTGTTTTTACGGGTTAATTTTTTCGTATTTAGAGTAATTGGCTGTCGTAAATTTCCACGCGATAAGTCATTTCGTTCAGCTATCATTTGTGATAGCATGGTCGCTTGTGAAAAAGAAGCTATACAGCTCAGTGGGCCTTATCTGGTAAAAAATAAACACATTTGTTTAAATAGTTTTTGTTTTGAATATTGAAATCGATCCAGGATCTGGACATCGCTTCGATCATTCAAACCCCCACACGTGAAACAAACAACAAAAAGCTGATTTTTTTTTACTTAAAACTTTCGTGACTGCAGGAATTAATATTCTTCGTTCTTTCGATAAAGTCACGTAGATAGAAAATAAAAAATTCATTTAATTAAAAATAAAGGCAAAAAACCCACGACGTTTCGATCGCAACACAAGCGGTCTTCCTTAGGTGTAGAGAAGCTGAAGACCGCTTGTGTTGCTACAGAAACCTCGTGGGTTTTTCTCTTTATTTTATTATAATTAAATTATAATTTTATTTTCTATCTCCGTGACTTTACCGAAAAAACCACGAATAACAAAAAAAAACCCAGCCACAACTCACGTACCCTTTACATTTCACACATCGGATAGGCGCAGACGCGGCAGCGCGCGCATGCGCAGAGCGCGCATGGGCAGAGCGAGAAAGGCCCGGCCGCCTATCCGCGCTGGGAAATAAAAAACCGCCGCCGCCGCCATTTTCCTTTACGGGGATTCATCGTGAGTGGAGAGACGCAGGCGAGAGGCCGTTCGTGATCGCTCTCCTCAGCAGCAGCAGAGCCTACGAAGCCGGTGAGTGCCTCCGATTTGTCTTTCCTCGTCCCCCCCCCACGTTTAGTTCTTGTAGCATCGGCACGGAGAGGTGTGTGTGTGTGTTGCAAGGTCCTTGACTTTTGTGTTTCGCCCCATCAGCTGGTTTTGTCAGGGCCGCTCTTTGAGGCCCAGCGGCTGAATTCGCGGCCCTTGTCGAATAAGATTGTTTCAAATTTGTATCTTTATTTTGTTCGCACAGCGGCGCTATACAAGTTGGTAAACTAGAAGTTGTTGGGTGAGCTTTGTCGCACGAGAAGAGGGTGACAATGCGGGTTTTTTTTCGCCAGTGCTGAGCCCTACAAGCGGGGAAGTGAACGAGTCCCCTGGCCCCACGTGGGACTCGATTAAAATAACACAAACCAAACTAAGAAGCAGCATCTTTACGTAAACGCATCGTTATGGGTGACAAGTAATTCGGTGGTGGGTGTCTTGCCCGTAGGAATAGCACGGCAAGGGTTGTGTTTGAGAGCCTTCGCGATGGGGTTACTGATGCGCTTTTGCTAATTACTGTACGTGTATGCCCGGCTCTACATTTGTTGTATTAAAAAGGAATCTATTGTCACGAGCACGTTGGGTTGTAGTCGTTGTTTAGTAAAATTGAATGAATGCATTCATATTGCCATGACCGATACGGAATGCGGAGGCTTTCATTCAGCAGGGGATTGAATGGTACCCCCCAATTCTAGAGGGACCCTCTTCGAGGGTAGTGTTTCGTAGGGTGATAAAGGGCTGTAACTTAATAAACGCGTGTGACATGTGCAAGAAAACGTAAGGCATTGACATTGTGCCAAGACATGCACGTATTCTTATTACCAGAATATTATATATCTCACCCAAAGGCAGTTAATGTCATTCATGCAACACTGTTTCCTCGGTGTCTGAAAACCACGTTCATCATCTGTGATATTGTTTTTTGTGATTGTTTGATTGAAACCTAATTGGTGGTAAAATCTGTTTCTCGGGGACTTGTGCTTTCTGTTGTTTTTCTTTGACTTAATGTAACTTTGATTTAAATTTTTTTTTCCTTTTTTAGAAAAATTGTTGAAGATGGCAACTCAACAGGGGGCAAAGGTTGTTCTGAAGAGCACCACCAAGGTTTCCTTACACGAGCGGTGAGATTAAAAAGTCCCAAAAAACTAAAGATGTCCAGAGCAACCCACACAAAATTATCCAGAAGGATTGTGTTACCGTCCAGTCCACATATCTGTGCATGAAGGGTTGCAAACACCGCGACCGATGTGTGCACTGGTCCTTGCCAAGGTAATGCAAAAATGACGGAGGACATCTCTGCAGATTGTCCCAATGTGTGCACAGTCCCCAGCACATGGCAGATGCAAAAAAAACTGCGGAGGTCCGTACGATTGCTCTCGCACTGTCCATGGTCATGCTGCCCACAGGTTGGGTGTAGGCATGTCAGTAAGAGGCATGTGGAGAGCACAACATTCTGTCCGAAGGATCTCTGGGTTCAGAGACCTTGTAAGTGGCTTGCATTTCTTTTACATCTCCCACCTCTCGGTGGTATTCTCCCCACATACATTTCTATTGGTACACGTTTTCATAATTCCACAAGCTGAACAAAACTTGAATCAAGATGAAGAGGTTATGACACTCCATGTCATTGATGCCACCCCACTTCATCAATTCCTTGTCAACTCCTGCAAGTTTCAGTCGACATCCTGACCTTCAAAGTCCACTTTTATAGCATTCTGCCATCCAGCTTTAGGTCTTACCCTTGGTCGTCACCTTCTGGATCTCAATACAATTGCCTGTTTTAGTACATTGCCCTCCTCCACTATTCCTTGCCAATCAAAACATCCTCTTCCCTCTTTACACCTATGATATTTACTTGGCATGTTCTATTCCAATTTCTGAGTTGTGCACCATGTCCTGCTATGAAATTCCTCACATTCTTTTCAGTTGCTTGGTTGAGCTGCCAATTCCCTTGCTTAGATATTGCTTCTGCCTTGAATTAGTTTATTAAGTCAATATATTTACTTGTACAAAGTGCTTTATTCCATCAAGAATTTGCCCTTCTAAAGCAAGATTTATATTAGTACTATCCACTGTGTTGTGGACATTACTACTTTGAGGCAATGGTTTTCTCTGCTCAGAATTTTCAATTGTTCTTCCACCTCTGCTGATAATGTCCTAGTGTGAAATATTATTACCTAATACGATTTGCACTGCCCCAGCCAAACTTATAGAAGCTAACAAAAGCTACATAATATGCTTACTCGAAGTCCTTCAGATGTAAATGAATAGTGCATTGTGATTCCTGGGTTTCCAACTGTCACGAATAAAATCACCTAGTCATACAGTCCTAAATCCCACCATACACATTCTTAAGCACACTAAATCACACCACTTCAAACTCCACTGAAGCTGTATCTCAGATATACCACATTTCTAGTTTTGGTAGTATTTGGATATTCTCCAGTTGAATGTCAACTTTTTTCGACTTTGCAACTCTTTTTTTGGATAGGAAATTTAGAAAAATTTTGTATATAATTTTAAATATTGTATTTTCTAAATTTGTCGTAACAAGTTATGGTTTTAGCAGTAACCTTAAATATTTAAGTGCGTTGCACAAACCTATTTTCCATTTAAATAAATGATATTCTAGTACCCTTGTCTATATGTCTAAAGCATCCACATAACACCTCTAGGAGTGGAATGATTAGCATGGTGTACCAGCCATCTTTTTTAATACCTGTGCGATACTGTATTTTACTTTTCCACCATAATTTGATCACTTTGACTTGTCACAATAAAAGTCCCTTCGTATAACAATATGAAACAAGGATTCAGAAACATCTTTATCCATGACTTTCAGTTTTGCATATGAAAACCTCATTACATTTCTTTACTGCTGTTACTTTTGATGACATTTCTGTCAATGCTGGGGACGGTAAAATGCATCTGCCTCCTGCCTCTAGCAGTGTTTGTGCTGGGGCTATGGTCTTGTGCAGAGACGGTAACCATAGTGCGGAATCGTAGCATTTCGCACCATCGTGGGACACCGATGTTGAAGTTGCAGGGGATTGTGGGATTGTCTGCTGTTCATGTGCAACACTCGTGACAGACCTTCCCCTCGCTTCTGTCCAACCTTCCAACCTTGAAGCTTTACTAACATGATGAGGAATAAGCAACCTGCACAAGTGAACGTTCAGGCTACCCTGCAACAACAGCATGCTGCTAGTGCCAAGAACAGGCGACTGGCACAGCAAATGGAGAATCGTCCTTCAGTTCAGGCAGCTCTTAAAATAAAGCAGGTGAGTTTTAATTTGGTAAACATCCATAATTGTTACGTGTCAAAGTTAACAAATTAATGGCTTGTAATATTTAAAAAATATTAAACGGTGCATATTTGAGAAGAATGTTATAGTGTTGGTAGCCACCTACCCAGTTATTACACTTTTGGTTGACATTGTAATGCCGACTTTAATTGATTTAAACAAACCAATGTGTCGTGAAATGTTTCCATTTCATATTTTGCCATGGTTCTAATTGTGTTCAATAATCTTTTATTAGCAGAGGAGTCTGAATCTGAAGCAGCGGCTGGGCCCCAGTAACATCCAGGCTCGGCTGGGTGGCCCTGTGAACCATGGAGGCATGGGCATGGGAGTCGGTATGCCTTCGGGTGGCATGGGTGGCATGGGCAGCATGGGCGGCATGGGTGGCATGGGTGGCATGGGTGGCATGGGCGGGATGGGCGGGATGGGTGGGATGGGCGGCATGGGTGGGATGGGAATGGGCATGGGTGGACGGGTGGCCATGGGTGTGCGAGGCCGTGGTGGTCTGGGCATCCGAGGTGGCATCCGGGGAAATCTCCGTCTAAACCGTGGAGGACCCCGTGGTGGGATCCTGATGCGCGGAGCTGGACGTGGATTGCTCCGTGGAGGAATGCGCGGTGCAATTACAACAAGAGGTTTGCTTTTTATTTTTGCAATGCCCATGATTACATGTTTAGCTTTGTAAGTCTTGCCAATCTTACATTCTAAACACTTATATGGACATATTTTTTCTGTCGGTTGAGTAATGTCATCACCTACATATGGAAGTTGTCAGAGTTGTAAATTCATTATAAGACAGGATGCTGGATAAAGGACTTTCTTAGCCATTACCAACGCTTATGGTCCTCAAATGCAAACATCCATTTAGCACCTGCACACAACTTTATTTCATTTATCCATCTCCTCTGGTGGACAAACTCAAGCATGTTCCCTCCATTGGCCTCCACTCCATTGTTTTGACCACCATCACTTGTGACATTCCCCATTATCACCTTTAAAGAGTGCAATATGCGAAAACTGCCTTTCTTATAATCCATCTGTTCTTCTTTCTGCCTGTCTATTCCAAGCATGCACCACTTTGTGATTTATAACTTTTGAGCTCGTTCCATTTTTTTTGTTGGTGTCCATGTCAATGTTTGCAAATGTTTGTGCAAGTTCTGGCTGTTAATCTTCCTTGTTGCCTCCAGGCTTGTTACTATGAACACAATGCTGCTTTCCGGTGGTTTATTTATTTATTTTAAACTTGGAACTGGAAAAGTTACTCATTTTAAATCCAGTTATCTGTTGGGGGTTGATGAAATAGCTGCTGCTTTGTAATAAATTAACATTTGTCATACTGGGGTCAGTGTCTCCACTTGGGAGTAGTATACAGGTGTATTGTGTTGTGCTTATACCTCCAGAAAGAGCTTTTGTTTGGTTTGAATCTGCAGAAGGAAAGTGTTCAAACAAAGATTGGGCCATGTGTGATTGTTTTGTGGTTAAGGTGCTGGGCGTGGTGTGGCGCTGAAGTTGGGGCTGAGGAGAGGAGGGATGAGGGGCCGGGGTGTCGGTGGCCGGGGAGGAGATGTTGGTGGCTTGGGGGGAATGGGTGGCAGAGGCAAGCATTTGTAAAACAATTGCTACCAATATTTCACATTCCTATTTCAATTTCCGTTATTTAAAAGCAGGAGGGATCCATATGAAAGTGGAGCTCAATTTTGAATCCCAAATGTCGATATATTAAAAATATGGGCCGTGGAACTGAAAATTTTACATCCTATTTCACAGTGCTATGAAAGAATTGACAGTAATTTTGAATGATGTAGGAATTGGCTCTGCAACAGGTATGCTCGTGGTTTTAGTCTCCCAAGAGTAAACGTTAAATAATGTAACTATACTATATTTGATTCCTACTTTTTTTAATCGATGCTTCACTTTAAAATGTAAATACATATATTACTGGCTACATGAAAAAATTGGATGTTTCCTGTCATTCAGGAAATCGCAGGAATAATTTTTTTTTAAACATCCATCAATAGCTTTAAACACAAAGATGTCCAATCAATACAGCTTTTTAGTCGACTTAAAACTCAGGCAAAATATCAAAGCATTCTTACATTTATTCATTTTGATTAATTGTCATTATTTAGAGTTGAGTTGATTCAGAAATCAATTATTTTAAAATATTGAGGTGAACGTAGCCGCCTCTCGCGGTTTCAAGTGTCACAAGCAACATGCCTATCAAAAATAATCTGTTAGACATGCAATTTGTGTATTAGGGACTTGGAGAATCAATATTTTCTGATTTAATAAATGCATTTTATATCATTAGAATGTAATTATTTATTTCCCGATAGTATGGAAGAAGTGGCATGTGTATATACATGTACATGGCATTTTAATAAAACACTGCGGCTCCGTTGGCTGGGTAGCTAGGCATTTTTGCCTCTGGGTTGTTTTGCCAATTACTTTCTTTGTTCTTATGACAGCTTGAGGGAACCTTAAATGGACACGTTACTAAACAATATTAATTAAACATTGTCCAATCCTCCCTATCATTCTTTCCCTCTGCCCTATTATCCAGTTTCCCCTCTGCTGTTTCTCCTTTACCCCTTTTCTCACAATGGATATCTGAACCAGTCTTAGGCCCTCCTTTTACCAGCCTACACTGATTTGCGTGGTACGGTACGGCCAAATAATCTGCATGACTGATGTGACATGGGAAAGCCGTCCAGCAATGGATTGACAAAGGCTGTCCATTTTATCATGCATATATTAAGTGAATCTTTATTAATTGTACGAGAGCTCTTGCTCAAATGTAATTTCAACATTAACACTCAAACATGCGAGGAAATACGTGTAGTAATTTTACGCTTTATAGAAATTACTATGCATATACAAATAGGACCGTTGTAAGAGAGTTTGCTTGTTTATTTCCATTCTAATTTTTGCAGGTCGTGGTGGAATAATAGGGCGAGGTCGTGGAAGGGGGTTTCTCGCGAGAGGGAGAGGGATCCGCGGGCGTGGAAGAGGTGCCCCGCAGGTCAACGTGACGAGGGAGCAGCTTGACAATCAACTGGATGCCTACATGTCAAAAACGAAGGGTTACATGGATGCAGAGTTGGATGCCTACATGGCTGAGGCTGATGCTGATGAATAAGCAGGTGTAACCTTTTAGACGTGCATACTTTTGTCTAAGTTGTATTCTACAATGGCACACTAGTGTTGAAGATGTGATGTTAGTACATAAAATCAGTTGTAGAGTAACGACAGTTGTGCTTTCCAATTTTTTTGCAGTTTTCATGTGGCTGAAAACACAACTCATAACTTACTTTTTACGGGCAAGACATTGACATTTTGGCAATGTACATTGACTTAACATTTTTGCATGACTTTTGTCTAGGGGTTCACCAAATGGCTAATTAGGCATGTGTCTGGATCCAAATTTTAAGTGGAATAAGTGTTTGTTTTTTACATTGATTGAACCATCCAGCTGCATCCTCCAGCCCACACCTATAAAACATTCCACACCCATGTGCCTCACCACTCTTCACGACATCATACTCTCCGATCGACTACGTACGGTGCGAAAGTTTAATATACATCCCCTGTTAATGTTGTTTTTCTCCCCCTTTGTATTTATCGCTCCCTCACCGTCTAACTTCCCTGGTCATGCTTGTGGTGAGAACTCTGCTGGCCTATTGCTAACTCCTGGCCCAGCCTTCAGCAGTGTGGGCCTTGCTGGTCATGTGAATACAACTATCCGTAGACATTCATATTTACAGTTTTTATATTAAGTTTTACTGGATCTCATTAGATCTGCATTCTCATGAGATATCTGGGGCACTCCTACTCTGATCTTTTTTTGAATCCCATAAACATAACATGCATAAATGTGATGGTATACTGAAAGAGTTGTATTTTCTTCAAATGTTAAAATTGATCATTTTAATTTGTCGATATTTGTTATCTAAATCTATCTCGATATATACAGTTAAAAGTCCGTTAAAGTTTTGCGCTGAACTGCAAACCATATTCTGAAAAAAAGTTTCTTGTCACAAGTGTTTAAAAGCTTGTAAATAGCATTTCATTGTTATAGGTAAACACTGACACAAGTTTGTGTTTTTACATTTGGGGGTGCCACATGTAATGAACTTCATATACAGGATGATTTGCTTCAATACTGTAACCTTTTTTCCAGTGAAACTGCTTCCGTAAATAATCAGTATATTGACATTTAAATGTGGATTTTTATAGAGGCCACTTTTTTACATTTCCAAGGTTTATCAACTACAGATGTGTGGGATGCGAGGTTAAAATGCGTGATATAAAAAGGTCAATACTTGGATTCAAGATTAAGCTAGTAACTCCAACAAATCTGTAAAGCTACATATTTTACAATGTCTTCAAATCGAAGAAGTTCTGAATATGCTTTTACATGATATAAAAGTGTCATTCACCAAGCTATGGTTTTGTGCTTTCTTAAAAATATCTGCCGCTAAAAAAAAATACAACGTATGTATATGTACACAGTGTGTGCAAAGATTCTCTTAAGACTTGTTTTTCATTTTCGATTATATAATTGTTTCTGTCTTGTGTTTTTCCTAAGCTTCAAAGTTCTGCATGTGATTTGTGCTAAATTCTCAGTAGGTGGCAGCATAACATCGTACTTTCATGTTACAAATGACTGCATTCTGTAAATAGCATTTGTAAAAATTACATTTCCAAATTTAGAAGTGTCTTTTTTTAGTTGCTGTTGTAGCAATGTAATTGATACATTACAATAAATTTGGTTTATAGCTTGGTCAAACACCTAGATACTGCAAACTACACGTGGTTAGTTTTACACAAAATGTGCTATTGAACAAAGGAATTCGCTAAAAAGCAGTACTGTATAACATACCACCTGCACGAGACGAGGTTAATTAGGTTCATTGGGAGACTCGTTCACGAATGCAGCCTATTAATATGGAAATTAGCCTGAGGAAAAACGCAGATCAGTCGAGTGATTGCCCCTGGACATTGGAACCCTGAGAAAGTGGGAGGTTTAGGGGGAAAACGTTGACATGTCCAGCTTTGAATTTACATCGATGTCCTATCGAGTCGAAGCTCTGCAAGTGTAAGAACATGGACACTTGTTTAAAATTGGAGACCGTCAAACTGTCCGTGATTAACATTCATCTGGAATCGTAAAGGGAATCCCCATTACATCCATGTTAACAAAATCACAGTTTAAATAACGAGAACTTGAAATAAGCCACTGGATAAAAAAAAATGCTTTACATTTGACCTACATTGGTAAACATTTCGCTTTAGAACGCTTCACAAGTTCGGGGTAAAAAACACTTTCAAATGTTTAAAATTTACATCCATTGAAAGTGACCGAATGCAGTATACATCTGTGACTTTTCTGAAGGCCCGGTACCTGAAACGTTGGGCTAGTACATGCTTCATATGTGGTTTAATGAGTTCACTGCATGCAACATGTGTGCAGACAATGCGAACAACAGTTACAGACATAACATTTGCAGATTAAACGTTCTGGAGGTTACATCTCTGGTTAAGAGCTAAAAAACACTTGGTTTGAGCAGGCACATATGCAGGTCAACCTTGTGTGATATGAAGGTAAAAATTTATCTGATTATCCGGAGCTACAACTTTTGTTCAATGCTCGAGGTAAAACCTATGATGTAGGCATATTTGCTGTCCTGTAACAATGCTAACTGCCTTTGAAATACTGGAGATGCAAACCAATCCAGAGTTTGCTTGTTTAATCCACGGTTTATTAAGAGCAAACTGGGCGATATATTGTGTAACGCAGCTACACAGACGATCCCAACACGGAGCCCCATCTCCGGCTTTGCTACGCAAGCTGTTTGACAAGCGCAGCGACGGAGAGTCTTCCAGAAGATCAGCCACGTGGTCGGAGACGAAGAGATGAGCAGTGACGCAGCCAGGACCCGCAACAGCCACGAACCGCTGGTTCGGTCCCCCTTATATCTGCCCAGGCGCGGTCAAGCTCCACCTCTGGCCATGCCCCCTTTCCAGAACCTTCGAGATGGTTCCCGGAGCTTCTCGACTGACTCCACCTTTACCCCAGATATGCCCCCCTAATAATAAGGCATTATGTAATGCAGCCATGACCGTAATTACCACTCGCGGCCGACAGGTGTCACCCTGTCATTACAGATGTATAGAGATACGGAATGGAACGCGTTCTAATAGGATATCTTCCAATGAGATTTCGCGATGAATTCAGCTCGTGTGCTGGTGTTGGGTGCATTTTTACATGATGCAATGATAAGCGTGCACAATATTTCACGGGCATGAATCAGAATATATTTATACTGTAGAAATGCGATGAGCTTTTAAGCTATTTTTTATAGATGTTCAGCCGGGCGGGTAAGAACGCTACAACAATACCAAAATATAGGAGTGGGAAATACAAGAAAGGTAAACGCATTTAATCCTTGATCGTTTCTGCGTGGATTAAATATCGGCCGTTCTAGAAGAGTCGGAGGGGGGGGGGGTGTAAAAAGTACGCGTGCGTACAGGTAGAGGGGTCAAGTTTTGACAGATTTTTGCGAACCTACTAAATGAATGACCCCTTAAGGGGAGCTTCGATCAGCAGTGACTTGACTGATTGTTTCATGCGAATGATCATCACGACCTACCTGTCAAACCCACACGGTTTTAGCCGTATTTTTGTACGGAGAAATTGGGTTTTCAGGTCCATACGGCGTAGAAGCCGTTCCAATACGGGCAAAAAAGTAGTTTTTTGTCTATTTATTTGTGTTTCTCTCTTGTGATGGGATTTTGTTGTATGAACGTTGAGATTTATAAGGCGCACGGGGTGACCAAACACATTCCTGCGGAGGGAGCTGGTAGGAACGTTGGGTTGCTCGGTCAATGGCCTGCAGGGTCAACGGCGGCGTGGTGTATTCCGCAAATATGCCCGACTGTGAGGGCGGGCACAAGCCGGCGTGAGTAGGTTAAACGTTGAGTTTTATAAGGGCACCACGGGGTGACCAGCCCCTCCCAACCCAGCCCCTCCCCACCCAGCCCCTCCCCACCCTCCCCACCCAGCCCCTCCCCACCCAGCCCCTTCCCCACCCTCCCCACCCAGCCCCTCCCCACCCAGCCCCTTCCCACCCTCCCCACCCAGCCCCTCCCCACCCTCCCCACCCAGCTCCTCCCCACCCTCCCCTCCCCACCCAGCCCCTCCCCACCCAGCCCCTCCCCACCCAGCCCCTTCCCACCCAGTCTCTCCCCACCCAGCCCCTCCCCACCCTCCCCACCCAGCCCCTTCCCACCCAGCCCCTCCCCACCCAGCCCCTTCCCACCCAGTCTCTCCCCACCCAGCCCCTCCCCACCCTCCCCACCCAGCCCCTCCCCACCCAGCCCCTCCCCACCCTCCCATTTTTGGATTCACGACGATGGACGGACGGACACAATAATCTCCTGTGGGCTGGTGGAACCAGGTGGTTCCTGCCAGTAAACGTTTTTTTTAAATATTACTTATTTCGTCTAAAATTGTCTGGGGAGAGGTGGGGGGGGGAGAAAAAAAACCTCTGATCTGGCATCGAAGCCTAAAAGCCCTCTGAGCTGGCATCAGCCCCGTGCGCTCGGAAGTCTTCGCGGTGTTGTCGAGGGCTCCACGCTGGATGCCGTTTCGTCTCCTCCTCCTCTCCCTCCTCTTCTTCCACGGCAGTAACCTGTCTCTCTGCCCGTCTCTGTCTCCGTTCGGTGTACCGCTCAGCAGCGTTGTTGATAAATGGCCAACGAGGAGCGCAGGTTGGTGAGAGTGTTTCGTTTTTTGTTGTTGTGTGAGAGGTGGTTGGTGGTAGTGGTGGTGGTGGTGGAGCGGAGCGGGGCTTTTGTTTACGTTCATCGTAACACACGGCGAGACCACGGGAAGCCCATCACAGTCACTGACACCGGCCACCAAAGGCACCATTGTGTGTGACAACACGTGCCTGTAACAACTGCGGTGTTAGTAGTAATGCCCGCTGTTGATGTGACGAGAGAGAGTGTGTGAGAGAGAGCGAGTGGCTGGGTGGTGGGGGGTAGAAGGCCTTGGTGGCATGGCGGGAGGGCTTCTGGGTTGTTGGCCAGGGGAGCGGCCCCGGGAAAATGCCATGCGAGCACTTGCGCGTCCATCATTTTGATGTTGTTGTTGTAGTTTTCTTCTGTGATAACAAACAAAAACATCCCCCTACTTTCTTATTGTTGCAAGGAATTTTGTCTTCGCGAACGTTTCCGTGAAATGGGCCGTGTCGCGTAGTTGCTGTGTCTCAGTATGGCGCCGCCTCATGATGCAGTTTTGCAAGTAACGTTGTTTTTGGATATTTACTTTTGGAGTGAGTGGGTTTGTGCGAGTGATTTTCGACTTTTGCACGGGTGTGTTTGATGAATAGCCGTCTAATAACGCACGTGAGATTGTCAATGTGATATTGCTGAGGTTTTAATTTGGAAATTTGGTTCAAATTTCCCAGTTTTTTCAGGGCCCCAATCAGTATTAAAAGTGCAATCTTGTGATCTCTCATTTACTTGATACAGCTGTCGTGGCTGTGACGGTTCCACCTGAAGACGGAGGCTTGTGTTGCTTCCGAAACGTCGTGAATTTTTTAATTTGTTTTATTTTACTTTTATTAATTTAAAATTTTTACCTACGTGACTTTACCGAAAAAACCTAAGAGTATGAATCCTTGCAGTCACGAAAGCTTCAGATCTAGAATTAATGCAATCTACAATTTGAATGGTTATGTTTGGTATTCAGTCAAGAGATTAAGGAGATTTGGAGCGAATTCAGAGTGAAATGGCCCATAGCCCGATATGCCAGCCTGGTTTTTTTTTCTTTCTGCCAAGGCAATAATTGCTGACAAATGTTGATGAAGTGTTCACTTACCAATAACATCTGGCTATCCAGCAGAATTTGATGAACGATGCCAGTGTGCTGATGAGACCCAGCATATCGAAACCTGTCCAGTGTTTGCTTGTTGAAATCAATGCTGCTGGATAATATTGGTCTTGAAAACTAATTCGCTGATGTACTAAAGCATACTCTGTATATACAGGGTGTCGGAAAATGTTTTCTCAGAGTTTAAACACAAAATTAGATTAATTATTGTAAATGATGGACGACATGTAGAAGTTGATTAATACCATAACATTTTAAGTGAACTAAAACTTGTAAGTCTAATGCATATATTAATATCAAATTTACGCCAGTATCTCGAATAACAAAAAAAAGAGAGATTCAACTTAATTTTTTTTTCGATTTAAAGCTTTCGTGACTGCAGGGATTCATAGTCTTGGTTCTTTCGGTACAGTCACGTAGAAGGGAAATAATACAATAATGAAAATAAAACAATAATAAAATAAAATTCTCTCTTTGGTATATTACGCTCGTGTGCCACATTGCCGGCCTTTATCGGTGCTCGCCAACAGCACTTGCCCCCAAAAGTCTTAAAGGCTATACGGGGGATATTTGTATTTATCTTTGTCTTAATGTATAGGTGCCCTTTGTGCAGATAGAATGGAGCTCTGGTTTTATTTAGTTTTTGTTAACGAGTGTAGCAAGTTTGTCTCGGCCGCTTTGGTGAACATTCTTGGTTGAAATTGTAGTGGTTTATTTATGGAGTTTGATTGGATACTATGGAGAATGTCACTTTTGTTTAAGTGGTCTAGGAAGTGTTTACTTACGTGTACTTACAGTTTAGAATTATATAAGTCATAGCTTAATCATGCAACTGTGAAAAAGGTGATAGTTTGCGAAATATGCACTTAAAAACCTAACTATATTGGACGAGTGACTTCTTTTAATCGGCTTATTTCCGCTTTTTATCGGCATTAGAGTCAGACTTCACGGAATGTGTTTCTTTTGATAAGTGATGATGGGGATTTGATACGATTACGTTTTACGCACGAGACTTAAAGCAGTTTAGGAATTTTGATTTCACTGGTTTAACGATTTTGTAGTTTTCATGAAATTACTTTTAAGTAGCCTTGGATGAATGGAATGACGTAATACTTCCTGGGCATAATAGAGTATTGCTCTCCTTAAATGTCAGTCATGTAATCTTCAGTATCAAGCTAATGTATTCTATGAAATCGTTGTTGAATGTGTGAAAGCAGCCTGCCATATATCAAGTGAAATCGCATCTTGTGCTGAAATGGTCTCTGTGTCAGGGTGTTGGTGCGTGCTGTCAGGGCAATTCCTTAACTTTTAAACGCACTCATCGTTATGAGAACAATAATTTATACAGCGCTTATTTGTCAGTAACATGGACTTTAAAAAGATGATTCTTAGTTTTTGCTTAAAAAAAAGATCTATAATTACATGCAAATATTTTCAGTATGCATATTCTAATATAAGGTAAGTATTTTTTTTCTATTGTACTGTTTACCTGGCACACAGTGATTTTGTGTTTTATACAGCATGTAAAATAGACATTGTCTCAGCGCATCAGAACACGCTGGTATAATCACTAGCCCAAAAAAATTAATAAATGAATGACACATCACGATATGTTCATGGGAAGCCAATCTCGTGGCGCTTGTCCTTGGCGTGACGCACGTGTACGCACGCACACGTATTGAAAAAGCACGCTCGCTCCGTTTCTCCATTGCAGCCAGAGATTCTTCCCACCGCTGGCTGTACCACATTGAGTGACACCGCCAATTCGGTTGCCACCACCCTCTGGTGGCGTTGACAAAACAAGGTAAGCTTGGAGAGAGGGCTCGCTTGACCACCCCCCCTCCAGCCACCACGACCACCTGCCCCGCAAGCATTGCGACTGAGCGAGGAGAGCAAACGGCACGGGTCGGAGTTCCTTCTCGCGTGGCAACGCAGCGGCGAGGAAGACAATGTCCCTGGTAACGCCGTCGAGCAACGATGCTTGCCTGAGCATCGTGCACAGCCTCCTGTGCCATCGTCAGGGTGGCGAGAGCGAGACCTTCGCTAAGCGCGCCATCGAAAGCCTCGTGCGCAAGCTCAAGGAGAAGAAGGACGAGTTGGACTCGCTCATCACCGCCGTCACCACGAACGGAGCGCATCCCAGCAAGTGCGTCACCATCCAGAGGACCCTGGATGGGAGGCTACAGGTATTATCCGGCGCGCGTGTACACGGTCCGCACGCATATGCCCCAAACTGCGCTCGCTGCGTTTGAATTATTTAAACCGCGTGCCTGCTATGCCAGATGAGTACGTAATAAGGTATGTGTTTTTGCAATTGTTTTACAATTTTTTGAGAATAAGATTATTCGAGTGCTTCCTTTGTTGGGTCATTGATGGTATCTAATAAAATGCATTCACCTTCATATTTGTTTGGTGTTGTCAAGAGGACTTTGCATGTTTACCCGTTTCTACAATTAAACATTTGCTTGGATATAATTCCACTTTGAGTTGTAACCTTATGATAATGCTTTTGAAAAAATATATATTTCAGTTTCATTTTACTGAAGTGCATTTTTTTCTGTTTACTTAAACTATTTAAAGTGCTGAATTTAAACATGTTCAATGTTGCTACTTACATGATTTTGCAAAGTATCGTTGTACCTTGTAGAATGCCGTTGCTGCCAATATCAGTCAAGGAGTAGTATATTTTTGGGATTTTAAATACATGTACTGTACTTGTGTGCGTGCAGCGAAAAGGCAGAGAGCATTTAAAACCTGATTTCTTAGAATATATTTTAGAACAGAAATCATTTATCAAGCTTACTGCTGAGCTCTGACTTTTATGTTCATTTATAATTTATAATGAAGTGGCTGTACAACATAGGAAATCAATAGGCTCTCTTCCAAGCCCAAAAATCATACTGCATTTTACAAACCGCAAGCAATGACACGTGAAAGCGCTTTTTACATATCAACAATGTGAATTTTAATCGCGCATATTTAATTTTTCTAAATATGTTATAAGTTAAAGGAAACCAATACTTTTAAAAAGTACATTGCATTCTATTACAGCAACTTTTACTCTGACATTTTCATTGGCTACTTGCAGATACTAGCAAAACATCTTTCAGTTAAGTGCTTTAATTGGAAAGTGTCAGAATAGGTTTTCATTTCAGGGATATACATAATGTGTTATTCGGATAATTTTTTCAGGTTATGAAAAATAAGACCAAGCAAAACATAGCTTTTACAGAGTACACCACGTCAGGTGTGACCGATGGATTTTATGTAAACCATATGGGAAAACTATCAATCTCTCAAGTAATTGCCAATGTAAGGTGGAATGAAAAATATGGACTGGCTCATTTTTCTTTGCGTGTGGGCTGAAATTGAATCGTGAATGTGAAATGTAAAACATGTTGATGGGGGAGTTGAGCAATAAGAATTTGGCACTAGTTCTTTTTCACATTACCAGAGAAGTGTTTTTTTTGTAATCTAATAATTTTCAGGTAAAGTTACTGGAAAAAAGCTTGTGAAGCAAATTAAAATGATAAATTTCTTCAGATGTAAATAAAATAAATCTGGAATGCCACTTTGAATGTCATGATATTCACATTTCCTTCTATGTATGCTTTGCAAATATTTGAGAAAGCAAATTTTAAATTTAGATGATTATATTTATTTCTTTATCGAGACCTTATTTTTGCAGTACTTAACACCTTTTTTTGCGATGTTATGGATAGGTTCAGTGCTGAAATAGTAACTTAAGGATATGAGTGGATCTTATTGTTGTGGCGTGTGAGCACTTACTAACAATTTGGTAAAATGAAATGCTAACTACACTCATGTAGAAAGGTTTACTGTCGTGCGAGTAGTTTTGCTATCATGCATTTGTTTTTGTCAATGACCTTTTGACTAAAGTTATTCATAAGCATCATTTTATGGGGACGTATTGAGAAATGTAACAATATTCACTCAAGGGACATGTAGAGTAACTGTCAATATAACACTGCAATACTAGACAATGACATTACCTAACTACACCACATTTTATTTGCATAGAATGTATTTTATATACATTAATTGAATTGACTATTTCATTTTCTGAAATTGCAGCTATGCTCTTAACCAAGACTGTCATATTTTAATAAAAGATGCATACTATTTGATCGTTTTGTCATCTAAGAATATGAACTAATTTGTGTCTTTTTCTGGACTGCCACTGCTGACAACAGCCCCATAGCAGCTTCAAAGTACTGTCCAGGTTCAAGATTGCATAGCTTCTGAGATCTGATGAGATTATACACATTCTGGATGATGTGATAACCGGCTTCTTTTGAGTATTGGAACATTGAATAAAGAAAGCCGATGGTGATGCAACTTTTCTCAATTAGTCGTGCACTTGCATTGAACGAGGGACACTAATGCATTGGTAGGCACGTATACGCGTTGTGATGTAAGCCAGGCGCCCTGAGGTCTCATCTCATGAAATGGCTTCAGTGTGACGGACGTTATAATGAGGGCGCTCTAATGACAGTGTGCTTAAAAGTCACCAAAGCTGTGAAATCGTGTTGGAACAGCTTGTGACAACACAGACCTAGGTATGTGTTGTTCACAGTTATAACAAGCTGTATTTTTTGGGAGTTTTGTTTTCCCTTAATTTCTAAAATATATAAGGTGGAAGGGAGGTGTATCTTGAAATCATTCTTATGTAACTCCACACGTTTTGTTGCAGGTTGCAGGTCGAAAAGGCTTCCCCCATGTGGTCTATGCACGCATCTGGCGGTGGCCCGATCTACACAAGAATGAGCTGAAACATGTCAAGTTCTGTCAGTACGCCTTTGACCTAAAGGCTGACAGTGTATGTGTTAACCCTTACCACTATGAGAGGGTCGTTTCTCCTTGCATTGGTATGGAAATATCTCCTTGTTTCAAGCACTTCTTCACTGATACACTATTGAATTGTTTTAAATCCCATTCATGTTGACTGTAATGTTAACTTGTAAAATTGTTCACAGTTGCACCATGTGATTGAATGTATATACAAAATTTGTATTGATTAAGAAAGAAGCAATGGTCTCCATATAGTGTTTACAGCAAGTTATAGTGATTGCAAGTGAAACTGACAAATGTTCTCTAGCCTAATTTATCTTAATTTCTGTTTGTCCCATATACAATGTATTCGAATGGTAACAGGCATAACTGTGGTGAACAATTTATGGGAAGGGAAAAGCAAGCCCATCATGGTCAAAGTCAAAGTAATAAGATAATATTTTTAAGCCAGAAAACCATTAGTTCTCACGGTAAAGTCAGTACCGAAAGACCCAAAGAGAATGAATTCCTGCGGTCACTAAAGCTTTAAGTCAAGATTCAGAAGATGAATGTTATACTATAGCTTTATCAAAGTGTCTAATCTCCATTTGTTATATCTGCTGGTCATGAAGTATTAGTTGGTGTTGGTTGCATGAATGATCTAGAGGAAAGGAATTATGTAAGCTTTCTAGTCTTACTTACACAAGATTTCCCACTCGCTTGTGATGAAGCACCAGGCTGTACATGATAATACTTAGAAAAAATGTCCCAGAAGTTGCGTGGCTGGATTATTTGTTGAGAAAGTCTATTCAAATGTCAAATTATGATGCATGATGGGACTATGCTCCACAATTGATTTATACTTTGAGCATCCATGGACTCCTACCATTGTTATTTTAGCTGACTTGATCAAAACATCCAATCAGGGAATCTTCGTGCCATATTTATACAGGCTGTAAATGTAACAGTACAATTGTTAATTTTTCAAAATTTTACTAAAGCATTTGTTGAATGTGCAAATTGGGTCATTATTTTTATGCTAATATTGTTTTAATTATGTTTCTGCAATGTTGGTACAAAAATACATGTATTGCATTGGTTCATTTAGGTATCGTGGAGTTTTAAAAATGTATAGTGTAGTTAAAATATGAAGTAATCCTCACAGATTTGTTTAAAAAGGTCCTGCTAGACTTATTATTTTTTCTTAATTATTTTGCAATTGAGCACGCATTCCACAAAAAACACACATTTCACTGCGGTGTGAGGTGTTTCAGATGATTGCTCTATATTTTGTCATTCCATCTAATTTATGGAAAATTCATATTCAACGTTATTTGATTTTCATGAAAAGCCACTTTTTTTTCTTGAATTGGGCCTTCGCAGGGTGAAACAAGACCTCGACCAAAGCATAAGCCACTGGACTGCGAAATATCACACTTCAATGGTGTGGCACAGTTTGGCAGCATGCCCAGATGGACAGATTGGAAGGAAGGGTTTTAGATCTTTGTTTTTAATTTGTTGCCACCTTTCCCAGTAACCTGGACCACTTGGAAACATACTTGGTTTTATATTAGCATTGTTAAGCAGTGTTGGAAATTCTGTTTCAGCAAAGCCCGCTGTATTTAGATATGGGATGGGCTTGCTCGGTGCACTGTGTTATGCGGATGAGCTAACGTTTTTAGCGTGGCAAGATATGTGCAATTTAATTTTACTCCCTCAATCCACAGCACAGCTCCATAATGAATATCTTCACCTTCCTTAACCTTGAGAATACTTAGCCCACACAAGTGGATCTTGGTGCCAACTATACTCCTGAAAAGTTTGTACTTTCTAATTGATTCGGTGCAAAGCAGGCCAGTTTTTGTTCATATTTAACTAGTTTTCATGTTAATTGAAGGAAGTAAATGTTATCAAACTGTTAAAATGTAAATATGTATTACAAATATATATTCCAATTGTGTTTTTGGTGTTGGAGTATAATAAGATTAGGACATAAACTTGTAAAATTAAACTTTCTATGCTTACATGAATGAGCAAATGGGCACAAATGCTGATCTCAAGTGCAGCCTCAGAGCCAGAGAAAGTTGTTCAGACCTGTAAGGAACATGCCGACAGCTGCTAACAAAAGCTAAGTTTAGAAAAAAACAAACCACGTTTACTGATGTCACTCTTGGTGTTTGTTTACTTGAATATTTAATTGTCAATGGCATTCATTGTGAATATTTCCGACGTCCATCACAAGCAATTAATTATTTTGTACGATTTTTTTTTTTACAGATTTAGCTGGATTGACTTTACAAAGCACAGGTATGTACATCTGTTAATTTTGCAGCATGATATATTAATGTGGTGGATAGCAAAATAAAATTAGCATTTGTTTTCCTGATAAATGCTTCATTCATTTAAGACTAAAGTTACAATACAATTAGGAATTAAACGTGGCTAATTACATTTTTTATATTCAATATTTAAATATTACGTTAAAACATCGTTCTGCTGCGATCAGATGTTTTTACAGCATGTAACTTAGCGGCCACTTTCTAGTAGAACTCGAGTGATATTTGGCGTCGCTCTGTGTGTTGTATGATCCTCGGAGGTCCTTCGAGTCTGCTGGTGAAAGATGAGCCCATCCTCGACTGCTTGTCGGCAGACAGCCCCTCGGGCCGGCTCGCCTCCGAGGGGGGCCACGGCAGCTTGCAGCTCATTTCACACCAGGCTCAAGCTCCTCCATCTGTTGCTCGGACACAGCTGGATGTGTTCACCGGGTCTACCATTCTGCCCCCTGCCACAACGCAGTCAATCTCAAGCCAGGGCGACACCTCCATCCCAACTACCTCCGCTGGTTTCATCCCCGCTGGTTCGTAGTCGACACACACACGTGGAGGGGCGGTTCAGCTCGGTGAATGTAGCCTTCATATTACTATGTGAAAATCTTTTAAAAACACATTTCAGTCCACTGCTGGATAAGGACCCCTCCCATGTTGTGAAGATAATTATTAGATCATTCCAGTCTTTGCACTTTGTTGATGGTGGGTAGCAGAGACATTTATGCATAACGGTACTGCCCTCTTAGCGACTTCTGAAAGAGGCATCCGCGTACAACTACATTCAAGGCAGAGTGATAATTTCAAAAAAACAGATGGCATAGATAACGTATATACAGAGGTCCATATAAATAAAACGTGCATATTTAATATTGATTTGCTTTTGCATCAAAACAGGCTTTCCTGGGAATTTGTTTAAATATGTAATTAAAACACATTTGAACCTACCTTTAGTGCGTTATATTTCGTTTCTGGTGCCAACTAATGTATTCGTTTTTTTGCTTTCATTTCACCTTCGTGATGTGAATGTGTGTGTGGAAAGTCGCTTGAGTTTAAGCAGTGCAGTTGGATCTTTATACATATAGTTGTTTTTTCATGCACGTTGATTCATTTCAACTGTTAAAATTCCTTGAAATTGGAAATTGCTTTGAATAAGTGATTGTAAAGCTTGTCATTTTGACAGAGGCTAGGACACAACTCAAAGCATGTCTAATCTTTTCTGAAATCAATTGTGCTTTATTATTTGTGCGATAAAAACAAAAGTAGATTTCTTCATTTGCAAATTATCATTCATTTGTCAAATAATTGCCAGCTTTCAAATAAGTAATAATATAATACATTTCATTTTTGTGGTAAATGTAAACGTGTTGTTAAGCACACCACCACCCGACACAGCCAATTAGTAAGATTTATCACGTAAACCAAACGTGTCAATTTTAGTTACTATTGCTCGTGAAAGCTTCCGTGTTAAACATAGTTAAATAACCTGGTTTTATGACGAATGATTTCCTACTCGCTATCAGTTCCATGGACAACTCTGCTACCTTATTTCAGCGGCTGCATTTACATAGTCTAAAAAAATCATGTGTAGACTGTACTTTTTACTGGCGCAATGTGTCATGCCTAAATTGGTACATGTGTATAATTCGTTTTTTTGCTAAAAAATACAATACAATTGGAGTGCACACTTTTATCCAGTAAATACTTTGTGAGTGAATCGACTTCCATTTGGCAAAACTACAAAGGGATTTGCTGATAATTTAAATGGATTAATGCTGATGAATAGAATAGTCAGAGATGTCTCTGGGGTCTAATGCATCGTGTCAGAGTACTGAGCTAGCAACTTCGTCATCCTGGACCTTGGCACAGACAAGTGTGAGATTTAAGTTGTCCTTTTGCTCTGGATGGGTTGACGGGTTTGCATGTTCAGCAAATTTCATGTCCTCAGCCTGTGCTTTTTTGCTGTTTGTCATTTTTGACCCTCTGCCAAAAATGACACTGTTGCTTATTTTCCTTAACTTGTTCGATTTAAAGCTTTCGTGACTGCAGGGATTCATCTTCTTGGTTCTTTCGGTAAAGTCACGTAGAAGGGAAGTAATAAAATAATAAAAATAAAACATAATAAAACAATTCTCACGACGTTTCGGCCACAACGCAAGCAGCCGTCCTCAGGTGAGGACGGCTGAGAATTGTTTTATTATGTTTTATTTTTATTATTTTATTACTTCCCTTCTACGTGACTTTACCGAAAGAACCAAGAAGATTTCCTTAACTTGTTCACACTCATTCATTTATTTTAATACTAAATGCTGTCGGAGGATGACCCCATTCTGAATTCTCTTTTAAAATTGCTGCAAGATCTACAGCAATACTGCATAGATAGGTAGCCTAACTATTTTGTGTTTTGTTCATGCAAAAGTCGCGAGCCTTTTTTTATAAAGAAGTGCCACACCATTTCACATAGTACGAAGGGAGCCTTATAGTACTCCCCATCCCCCACACTGTACCATGTCATGCTGATTTATTGCATTAAGGCATTGAGTGCCATACAGTGTGCTTACAGAGCCATATATGGGTGTCTGTCTAAGGGTTGGAGCTGTGTGCTCATGAAAAAAAAATGAAGAGTATAAGAGGAAGACGTGGGCTGCTCTTTGTCGCTGAATAGATGGGGACCGTACAAGAGTACAATAGAGCATTAGCTACGATGGGCCGGACAAGAAAATCATTCTAAGGCAGTCTGCTAATATACTCATGTGTTTTATTATTCTCGTTTATTTGGAAATGTGAAAAAAAATCACATTCAACTTCTGCTTTTCTTGGCATGGCTAAAAAGAAAATAAATAGCCATGATGAACAATACATACTCATTAAATTGAAAGCTTTGACAGTAATTGCACACTTAAAAACTAAAATATAAATTGATACCACAAGAAATGACACGTACTCTTTAAGGTGATTCGTTTCGTGAGCTAAGCCTGCTTATTATCACGTGCATTTGTACTCCATTAGCACATCGTTAATCTGGTGGTGTTATTGTAGGCTTCCCCCCTGCTCCCACAAGTTATAATTATCCGCGATGATTTTTATCCCCGTAATAATGTGCGGCGGCTGCTGCTGCGGCGGCGTGTGACATTCTCTTGCAGGGCAGAGCAGCTCTTTGCTGGCAGTGGGCCTCGGCGATCGAATGGTCGCCGTGTCTGGTGGACAGCAACCGGTCACGCCGCAGAATGGCTTCTCGAGCCAGCCTCAGCCTTTTCACAGTAAGCCCTTTGAGAAGTGAGCGTGTGCACTGGTTTCTCGAGAAGAAGAGGTATGCCGCTTGCGGATGAAGAGGGGGGGGATGCAACTGCGGTGTTATGTTTAAGCGCACACTGCAATTGCAATCGTCGGTTCAGCCTCCCGGCATGGTAGTTGTGCAATGATAAGCAAGTTTCTTGATTCTCCTTTGCTCTGGTCGCCCAGCAGTGTAAGGGGTACACCACAAGTTATAGTCGATCGACAGGTCGTTTGTGGTTGGTATAAAATGTGGGTACTCCCACCGGTTCAGATATTTCTGGCCAGTGTGGAATAGTAGACCAAAATACCGTTGCGGTTGGCTACGTACGGTGCGAAAGAAGTTCAACATACATACATGGAAGGGCTCTTTAGAGCTCCCTTTCGTGGAGGGCCTTCCACCAACAGAGGCTTGAGCAAGTAATTGCACGGCTACACCTTTACCTTTAACATATTAAAGATGGGATGGGAGAATCCTGTGTCTGTATTTCGTACATAAGGCTGTTTTTTTATTCATATTTTACATAATAGCTTCACGGTTTATATTTTAACATGCCTTGAAAGGTAATATCAATATTACTCATAAGATTTTTTTTATAAATGAACCTTATGACGGTACCATGGAGTACCATACTACCCCGGCTCTCGCATAATGTCCGTGATGCAGTCATCTTTAGTCTGTTGATGGTCGGCGGTGCGGAAATCGACGAGCTGTACACGATGCACTATGGGGCATACACGAGCGTTCAGGGTTTCAGCGCAATCGTCCTCGCTGCGTTTCGACATCGCGGAGTAGCACTGATTTCGGATTGATTGGTACTCCAGTCGCGGAGTGAAGTACACCCCTGGAAAAAATAGTGTCCCAGAAATAAAATATTTCATTGCCTCGGCCATTTTGTACTATTTGGTACCCTGGGGTACCACCATAAGGATCAAATAGTGAGCTTAAGTGGCAATTATTTCTTCAGGTTTTACAATTTCTCAACATGTTAAGGAACATATGTTTTTGTGTATGGTTTATTTGAAATGCATTGTAAAGCACAGGAAATGTAATTATTTTCTAAATTATCATTCATGAAAACATTCACCTAGATTTAAATTGATTAGACCAGCATGATGCAGTATTTAATTCCACTTGTATGTTTGACACCGTCATTGAAGTGATGAACCAGGCTCGCATTCATACATTTTTCCTGTAAATTTTGGGCGATTGTTTTGCTGCTTTTTTTTTATCCAGCGTTTCCTTGTGAATAATCCATTTCATTCTGTTTCCAGGATGACCACATACATTATACACATTGGTAACTGTGGAAAGATTTATCAAAGCCTGAGCTATGAGCCAGTAGGGTGACAGAAACTGTTATTTGAATTAAAGAGCACGCACGTTAATTTCACGAATGCTACGATTAAGTGCCATTGCGCAATGAGTCGCCTATTATATTTTACCGCAGCGTTTGTAATGAGTGTGTTGGGATTTTTGCTGTTTGTGACCGTGCACCACTGCCAACGCTAAGATCTTCCACGAAGCTCATGGTGCACCCTAAACTGTGTACACACAAACCATGGCAGATGTGGATACCTGTTGCACAAATGGAAAATTAAAACACACTCCAGTGTGCGACTGTGGTCATCCAGAACAGACCGTACAACATATAACGATGGAATGCCCAATCCACAAATACGATGGAGACATCACAGTGATACACTCCCACTGCTCCTGATGTGGTTGTCTGGCTTGAGCAACCTGAATGTGAAATTTAAGTTGCTCTGCATCTACATCTACATCAGCCATATTGCTGTCCATGTAGATGGAGCTGCACCCACATGGACGGGCAGCAGTACGGCCACCTACACGGCGAACATGGTCCACCACCAGAATGGTCCTCCCGTTCCTCACCACCCGCCCTTGCATCATCCCAATCATTACTGTGAGTACAAACAACGTCGTCTGATTTTATTGTTTAGAAGTAAATAGACTTTTTTATTATTTCAAGAATTGGCCATTGGTCGTTCAATCCCCTTTAAGTTTGCAAATTATTCTATGGCTGAAATTACACGTGATTTTTGTTGCAGGAATTATTTCTCAGTGCTTTTTACAATTTTTTGTAAAACTGTTCCAAAAATGTAGTATTGTCTAGCAGTAGTACACGATTTTCATTATTTTTTTTGTGTGCAGGCATTATTGCGTTTATTTTAAATATTGACATTGTTGCTGCAAGGGATGTTTTTATTCAAATGGAATGTTTGTTTTTACAGTATCTGTACAAGAAAGTTTACATTTTGTTGAAAGTTTTTTGTTGCTTACATTTTTTCCCGAACAGTTTCTTGCGTTGATGGGGTGACCTCATCTTGTAACGGCAAAATATTGTCACAAAGAACAAATGCATTTGAGCATCTTTGTGCTCAGTGAATACGGAATTATATGTTCGTGCCGTGCAAGCCATATTATTTACTCTGCTCGAGCAAGGTCGTCTTGTGTTTACAGGAAAATAATAATGTGCTCTCCAAATGCGAGCGATTGCTTCCCGTGTATCATGTTGCATGAGCTTGGATTAGAGGAGCTCTAGAGATTTCCCTATTTTCTTTTGTCGATATTGCCCAGCTGTGTTTTTTGCTTAAACAGCCTTCTTTTTTTCCATTTAGCCATATTTGTGTTTTGTTTTGTCCCCACTTGAAATATTTAGTGAGATATTTTTAAACAATATATATGTTTCTTTAATCCCCCTGCCTACGTCTACCCAGCGGCACAGATGGGTGCACCCACAGATAGTCGATCGTTAGGCTAAGTGTGGTGGTGTAAAAGCGGGGATTACTACCTCTTCAAAATTGTTTGACCAGTGTGGAAGAATGGGCCAAATTACGACAAGGGGGCTCACTTGCTCTCTCTCTTATGGAGGACTGTCTTCTAGAAGTGGTGTGAGCAAGCAATGGCAGGGCTGCACATTGTTTTATAAGTATATATTATATTTAAATGATATATGTACTTTGTATACTGTGTTCATAATTACGTGGATGATATGAAATCTGGAATTATAGGTCATAATACAAATCAAGTATTACAAATTCTATAAAATTGTTGTGTTTCTTAATACTTTATATATATTTATGATTTCATATATTTATATATTAAATGTAGCCGATCTTTTTTTTTTAGTCCATAGTGTGACGAATTTTATTTGTACATTTTCTTTGAATGAAGAATGTAGTGTATGCAATACTTTCTAACAACTATGTGCAACATCTGATAAACAAAAATAAATTATTCTTCAACAGTTGCAGGTTACTCTGTACCCTTCCATAACATTGTCATAAAATTATTATTATTTAATGAATTGAGGTTAATATCATCAATCGATATAATGAAAAACCAAAGTAGTAAAACTTTTCCCCTTGATCTATATTTTGTTTGTTTCTTCAACATGCCATTCATTATAATTTCATTGTAAATCATTTAAGATGTATTGCATTTGCAATAACCGTTGTTGTTCTTGAGAATTATGTATTCATAACAATAATTGTCTCCAAATGTGGTTGTTTAAAACATGTTTATTTTTTATTCTTGACCTCCTTAAAGAATTATTCAATTGAAATGGCAAATATTTGGCAGTGCTCCATCCTTCTACAAGGCATGGGTTGGCAGATTGTAATAATGTTCTCAGGGCCAAATTTTGAATGCTAAATAAACAAACCACATGAATCCATAACAGTTGTCTCAAGGCACAGCATGTAAATTTCTTGGAATTGATACAATAGTCGTCGTTGCTTGGCTCATGCAAAGGAGTTTTCCTTTTTTCTGCAGGGCCTCCACACCACAATGAGCTCTCTTTCCAGCCTCCCCTTTCCACCCATCCAGGTATTACAAACGGTTTCAATCATTTACTGTTTCTTGACCTCACTTAGTATGTAAAAATCCGTGGAAAGTGGATATCCGTTGATCACTAAGATTGACTTGTGTATGATAAAAAAATAACCTAAAATTACTGAGATAACCAAATGTACCTAGTTTTTGGGTCAAAATTATGATTGATATTGGTAATGATACTTTAATAGAGAGCTGTACCTTTCAGTTAATAATGTCATACAAAATGCGCGCCGTCACTTAAAAATGGGATTGCTCACTTTGTTTCATGTTGTGACCTCATCATTGAATGATTCCTAAGAGAAATATGAGCGGAGTCCGAATTATTTTTAAGGTTCCATTTGTCAACAATATCCTCCAATATGATCAATGAGCTTTCTAATGTATTCTGACATTTTTAAATGCATTTTTAACAGATGCACATCGGTCAAACTTACGTTTCCAGCGTAAAATCGGTGAGGAATAGCCTTTCATTGAGATATTGAGGTGATAAAACAATAATGTAAAACAATTATAACAATTAAAACATAACCACTTGCATAAATCAAATTCGCTTTTTTTTATTTAACCAAAGCATTGTCACAGAGATAACATCACGGGTAGCACGGGTTTGCTTGTAAGGAGGTGAATGTCAAAGGTGAAAGGGGGGGCGTACATGCTGTTTACCTCACGGAAACTTTACGAACGTAAAGCCTTACAACGCTCATAGAGAAAGGTATTTGACTCGTATATAATTAACAAATGTGATGGATAAGTGAAACTCCCCTTTGTAGGTCCAGAGTTCTGGTGCTCCATTGCATACTTTGAGATGGACGTCCAGGTGGGCGAGACATTCAAAGTGCCCTCCAGCTGCCCCATTGTAACGGTGGACGGCTACGTGGACCCTTCGGGCGGGGACCGCTTTTGTCTCGGCCAGCTCTCCAATGTTCATCGGACTGATGCCAGCGAAAAGGCGAGGCGAGTACCTTTCGAAAACATTAAGTGTTCCCTGCATTTGTAGAGAAGAAATGTATTTCAGTAGTGCCTGATCTATATACATTTGTAAGTCTTTTTCTTTGCCCATTGACGTGACAAAGACAAGCTTCACTAATCGCCGTCTGTGTGCAGGCTTCACATCGGTAAGGGCGTCCAGCTGGAGTGCCGGGGAGAGGGGGACGTGTGGGTCCGCTGTCTCAGCGACCACGCTGTTTTCGTGCAGAGTTACTACTTGGATCGGGAAGCAGGCCGGGCACCCGGAGATGCTGTGCACAAGATCTATCCCGGCGCATATATAAAGGTCACTTCACGTAAAATCTTACAGCATTTTGAAATAGAATCATCATCATCAGATCCCCACTGGGCGAAGATCCCGGGGCCGGCCCAGGACACTGCTGGCGGGGAACTATGTTACTCGGTTGGCCTGGGAACGCTAGGGGAAAGGGGAGGTCTGGACCGCCCTACTCAACATGCTGCCACTGCGACCCTCGCCAGGACAAGCGGCCTGAGAAAAGAATGAACCAATCGTCATAGCTGCATCAAATGATTGCCATTCTTCGACTTTTACCCTGTAAAGATTGATATTTTTGCTGTTGTAATTATGCAAAAAAACATTTAAAAAATGTTGGTGAATTTTGTTTTTTTGTGTGTGATCTTTTGTTGCCCCTTGGTGATGGCAGGTGTTTGACCTCAGACAGTGCCATCGGCAGATGCAGCAGCAAGCTGCTACCGCACAGGCAGCTGCTGCCGCACAGGCAGCTGCCGTGGCTGGAAACATCCCCGGTCCTGGCTCTGTCGGAGGCATTGCTCCAGCCATCAGTAAGTCTCCCCCCCGTGGCGCAAGTTCGTGTTGACGTGTATTGTTGTTACACACCCTTCAGTGTACTCCACGTAAAAGAAAAGGACCGAGATATTGTGGAATTTCAAAGACTTATATTTCGATTTAAAGCTTTCGTGACTGCAGGGATTAATCTTCTTGGTTCTTTCGGTAAAGTCACGTAGAAGGGAAGTAATAAAATAATAAAAATAAAACATAATAAAATAATTATCACGACGTTTCGGCCACAACGCAAGCAGCCGTCTTCAGGTGAAGACCAGGTCTGTCGGGGAGACAGCGTCTTCACCTGAGGACGGCTGCTTGCGTTGTGGCCAAAACGTCGTGAGAATTATTTTATTATGTTTTATTTTTATTTTTTTATTACTTCCCTTCTACGTGACTTTACCGAAAGAACCAAGAAGATGAATTTCAAAGACGTTCATACTCAAGCAAGCAACTATGTAAGATGACATATCTGTTTCCAGATGGGTTCATAATCGTGGTTTTATCTTGCTGCAAGGTAGCTAAGAAATGTGTACTTTTCAGTGTGTGAATGGATTTGGAATACATCTTCCTTTTGGAGGCCTTATGAATTTTTCATTACCACTGATAAAAACATATATATAGCCACAAATAACAAACCGATGTACATTAAAAAGAAGTGTTTTTAATCGGTGCATACTTCCTGTATGACATGGTAATTCTCAATAACATGCAAGGTAACTAAATATTCTGCAAATAAGCAATGAGAGATTCACGCTTGGAATTACATTGAGAGACAGCAAGACATGGATCACCTCTGAACATTTAAAATATTCACAGCACTAGAGTACCGTCATATAAATTCAAATAGCTTGCCTAATGTTGAAATGGTTTAACCGAGAATGCAACCGCGGATAAGTCCATTTCACTCGTGCAATCTCGATGATAAAAATTTACCCGTAAAAACAAAGTTTTTCACTATAAATCCTTTATATGCGTGGCGGCTAGAGTCCTCTCGTCCTCTGGCTTGAGATGGCTGCCACCTATGGGTCAGATGATTGCCTGCCACCATTAAGCAATTGGTAATTAAATATAAAAAAAAAAATTCCTAAAAAGTGTAAAATTTTGGAATTTTTTTTCACGAAAATAAATTGTCACGCACAGTCTGTGTGCAAAATGTCAGCTCGATTGGATCACGGGAAGTGGGTTAAAAACGATCGAAAGATTTGCACGGTCGTAAACGCGCAAGCAAGCAAGCAAGCGAACTTAATATAAAGGATTTAAAAACATAACAAAACCCTGTAAATACTTACGACTGCCCCCATCGCACGGCCGTCAGGTTTGTCGGCAGCAGCGGGCATCGGCGTGGACGACCTACGGCGGCTCTGCATTCTGCGCATGAGCTTCGTGAAGGGCTGGGGTCCCGACTACCCACGGCACAGCATCAAGGAGACGCCCTGTTGGATCGAGATTCACTTGCACCGGGCCCTACAGCTTCTGGATGAGGTTCTGCACACCATGCCCATGGCCGATCCTCGGCCGCTCGACTGAGGACCGTTTCTCCCCAGCTACGCGTCCAAGGGATTGCACCGCGTTGATTTGCGTGTGTGTGTGTGTGTGTGTTTGTGTTGAAGCAGCATTATTTTGTCTTCGTTGGAAGAGGGAAACTTTGATCGTTACCAACGTGTCGATGGCCTTGCCTTGCAGATGCCCTGGGCTCATTTCCTCTTTTGTGTGTTCACTTGAGGATGATTTCAAGTTGGTATTCTAGTCATGAGTGAAATGCAATGTGTCTAGATCTCTGGGGACTTTTAGTATGTCCTAACTTGCAGTCCTAATCGACGAAAACTCAAATTGGCAAATTCAAGTCAACATGTTGCTTGACTGGAGTATCCCAAGCCTCGTTATCTGGCTTTCAGATTTTCAAGTGCGATAACACGATGAAGTTGCAACAAATGAGAATGGGTCTTTGTGTAATTGCATTGTTCGTGGGGCATGCATCATGCACGTTTCATAGCTTAAAATGCGTCTTAAATCCATTTAAAAGTCATAAAAATGTATAACTACATACAACTTAAATGGATTTATGAAATGTTACATACGATTAGAATAATGCAATGAGATGCAAAACATTGCAATGATTAATGCAAACATTTGCACCATCCATGTCAAGAAAATCAATATATATGTTATTTTTTTATATTTATGTTTAAGCTAGTGTAGTCTTGGGCATTTAATCATAGCTTAGTCTTGACCTATGAATTTTTCATTATGTTGGCAGTATCTGTGTACAGCGTAATGTATTGTAGCATCTGTAGTGACGTGTACATAAAGGTAAGGTATGTTTACAAATAAAGCCATCTTTAGAGCCTTTAAATTGTTTATTGTGACCATGTGGTTGCAGGTGATGTTCTGCCTACTGTTAAATGCTCTATATTCTTGTCTTGTAGAATTATACAAAGTAATGTTTGGATATTGCATATACATTTTAATTGTTTTATTTTGCTGTCTTATTTAGATTTGCTCAGATTGTTTTGCTGTTTTATTATTCCTCGTGTACTCTTTGGTTCTTTCGGTGAAGTCACGGAGGTATAAAATGAAATAAATCCCGACGTTTCGATCGCAACACAAGCGTCCGTCATCAGGTGGAACAGATACAGCAGGAGGACTGCTGACATAGGAGAAAGAGCTGCTGCAACAAGAGTTTATATAGGACATGCTAATCTCTCACATTGACATGCTAATCTCTCACATTTCATTTATGTACAAATTCCTTCTCTAGCTCCGCCCACTTACCCTTGGGTTGAGCCCACCACAATCCGATATAAACTCTTGTTACAGCAGCTCTTTCTCCTATGTCAGCAGTTCTGCTGCTGTATCTGTTCCACCTAATGATGGTCGCTTGTGTTGCGATCGAAACGTCGTGATTGATTTTATTTTCTACCTACGTGACTTTACCGAAAGAACCAAAGAGTGGATTCGTGCAGTCACGAAAGCTTCAAATCAAGATATTTCTCGTGTATTTAGCATAAAAATTGCATACACTTGTAAACATCAAGAATTGTTGAAGGCAACCCTTATCCATACAGTGCATGATTTCTTGCATGGGTGGCAGACCTTTGTCGTAAACACTTTAATGTAAGAAGTTCACATACAGGAGGTGTGATAGCTGCTCAATGAGAACGACGTAAAATTGTCCGTTATAAAAATTATTGGTTGTAGTACACAGGCCATCCTTGTTGATATTTCATACATTATTTAATACACAACAGTGTAATTTTTTATCACTTTTACTTTTTAAAAACACTTTAAGAACTTGTTAATTTAAGAAACAACACCATATTTCTGCACATACTATAACTTTTACAATATTCGTTGTGGTTGTGGGGCATTCCAGGAGATTAGTATTGTCATACAAAAAGAATATCACAGACCTGACCGTGGGCTTATTTTGAAGCCCCGTTATATGCTACTCATAACGCTGAACACTAAAGTTGGCACGTATCATTTTGGAAAGTGAACTAGATGGTTTGTATTTCCATACTTTCATGGTCCAGTTTGATGCATGTCCTCTATGTACAGCATTTGCATGCATTTACACACATACAGACTTGGGAAGACTTTAACTTAAAAGTTTGAGATGGGTATGGATCGTAGTCTTTGACTTTACCTGGTTCACATCTCCAACTTTACCAGACTCATGGCCACAGTAGTAAATTTAATCAGAACATTTGCTGTGCCAAGGCTGCGTTAAAATGGTCTTCATTCGCCTGTTATAAGTGACACCAATGTTTTAATATGAATAAGAACAGATGTTAACCTTCCCAATTGTTCATGTGAAACTTTATTAGGTGGTAATGGGTTTCTGGGGGTTGGGGCGTATCACGAAAGTGCCTTTTTATGGAATTTTTTTTTCCAGAAGGGATTATATTTGGGAGGTGCAGGGGAATCTGCTTATAAGATGCTGCTATCCAATCCTACACACTATCCAGTTGAGGCCGAACCATATTTATTACTCACACTTCTTACATCACAGCATTCATTGTAAATTCATACGTGGGGGGGGGGGGGGGGCCTTGGATGTAGAGAGACCTTTGCTATTTTCTGGGGTTCTCTTTGTACTGGAAATTACACTTAGATGTCGAATTGCTACAAGCCAGCCTTGCAGATTGATTGCCAATTGAGTTAGCAGTATCCTGCTATTTTTTAATGTTGCTTTTTTCATTTCATTCTTTAGCTATCAATGTGAATACGTATACTCTGCCTTGAAGTGGTTGTCCTCAAGCCATTTAAAGTTGTTTTTTAATAGAAATGAAACATGATGCATATGTAGCCAAGGGTAAAGGTTTAGTTGGAAATCACTGAAAATGTTTATGCTACTTTGAATTCAATTATAATAGCTGTAATTGCAATTGTCCTTGTGTTAAAATAAATGTAATTTTGGTATTTTTGATATATAAAAAGGTTATTTGATTATAGGTGTAGGATGCCATTAATTCGGAATAAAAATGCATCATTTGAGTTTCTCAATTTTTTACATATCTGCAAGTCATAATTGAAGTGTCCATTCAACCTTTCTAAGTAGAGACTTCAACACGTGGTTAAGTAAACAGTAATTATATTATTCGCCATTTGAAAGAGTATTTGTTAAGATATGGAATGTTAAGCATTTTTCACATTGCTAGAGTGGGACATTGATATACCCCTGGACTTGTATTGTTGATATTTAAACAGAGTTTAGGGTTTAGTTTTATTATTAATACTTTATCAATGTTTATGACTAAAAAGATCAGTGTTGTATTTTAGCACACTTAAGTATTACTTCATAATGTATCTTTCAAAGCATTTGAGATGCTATGCAATTTGAATGAAAACAAATTGACAGGTTCTTATTATCTTAGAATAAGCCAAACAACTTAGTTATTAACCTGTTTATGTCTGTGCTTAATCTTATGCCATATGATATTTCACAATGGTTAGTGCATTTGTGCAGTGTTTCAATGGTTTGCTATTCCCTGTACATTGTGATAAATGTGATTATATTGAAGGTATTAAAAAAAATCTACATTTTCACATTTGCATGTACATTTGACCCATTTTCAGTACCATGGTATGCTTGTTTAGTTTCAGTCACTGTATCTTAACTATACTTAATTCATTTCCAAACTGCCCCAATCTTTGTCATGCAAGCTTTGAGCAGTGATGATAATTGCTTTTTCGGGTCCTGGGTAGTAGAAGTCCCACTGCAGTTTCTCTTCAGCACAACCGCTGTTGATTTCCAACCAGTTTGTACTGACTAGAGGGACACTCTGCTTAAGTTAACTTCCAGCTGGCATTTCAACTTGTGGGTTTGTGACCATCTCCTCTACCAATTGAGATCTATTGCGGCAAGTAAAACAATTATGGTCGTACATGTACAGCCCTTTTGTCAACCCCACGACTGGACGAGGTTCTTCAGACGCTGTGCAAATCATCGTGGTTATTTGACCATACTTCACCTTGGTCTGTGCGGGCTGGTGAAAGGGGGCAGCATAGATAGTAAAGCATATCACAGTAAAGCAATGGTCTTACCGCACTGCCCTCTGCTGACAGTTTTGTTCTAAGTCAGTGTTGTGCATGATCCACTCATACACGCACTGTCCAGGTTCCAATCAGCTTTTCTTCTGAGATCGTATAAGATCCGGCCTAACTTTGGGTGATTCGGCCATAGGCTGTGAATCATTTGGGTTAATTTATGATAACGATTATGGTTATTTGATTCGTTCATTTATACCATTATGGCTTAGTTTAAGCTTTCAACCATATTAAACAGATTTATAATCTCTTGAATGTAGATTTGCATGATTGAGACGAGCATGGATATTTCTTTCATTGATTAACCATTCTGACGCTGCAAAGCTGCAACATTGCAATGGGCTGGTTTACTGTCTCCGAACGGCTAAACAACCTTTTTCAAACCCACGTTGAAAGAATATTTGTGCAAGTTATGAAGATATTTCGTTCTCCATTTTGCAACTCAACTTTGCAGATGAATTATGAGTAAATATGATGCTTGGAGTATGCAATGGCATGTAACGTTTTTTTTTATGTAGGAGTGAGGTTGAATTTTTAAGTTAAATAAAAATGTCTGTGAGGTTGCCTTTTCATTTTGTACATTTTTTAATGTCGGCAATGTCTGAAATATGCATTTACTGCCTATCAATGTTTGCCACAATATTGCATTGCACCTTCAGGCTTTTTTTGGGACTTTAAAGTGACCTTGTAAGTCAAACTTTTGCTTTTCACTCTACAAAACATTAATGTAAAGTTTTATTTTTTAAATCTATTATAGTTATTCTGCTAACACTCCATTTGTCAATTAAAAATAATTACAGTGTATCAGGATTCACATAACCAGAGTCCTCACCACAGGCGAATCAATCTGTGCAACTATTACCGGGCTAATTAGGCATTTAGAATTGAAACTTTCCCTTTTTTATATATTTTTGAGGTAGCAGTGTGTAGTGGCTGCAACTACAATTTATCACCAACCATAAGACCATTTTCAATGATGTTTCATGTATCGGTTGTAAAATAACTGATTGTTTTCTGGGATTTTTGGTTTGTCACGCATATATACCTTTCAAGCAATGCACACAAGGTGGTACACGATTAGTCGTCTTGTAAAGGTTGACATCTTTCGATTTAGAATTGTAATCTTGTGACTTTTTATCTAACTTTGCATCCCAATAAATTTATTTTGGGAAGACTGGAAGTGGAAGGCCTCCAAAAATGTTGGCCATAATTAGTCGGCACAATGCTATTAAATGTATAATCTGTCTACTAAGTACGTTTTAGAATATTTTCAAGAGCAAATACACCACCCAAGGTGTTTGAATACAGTATCTCCTATGCCCATTTAAACTGTCAAATAGCTTGTTTGTGTATAAGCTTGTGCCACCTGGCATGTAAAATGTATTGTATACATGAACACGTCTTTTAATCATATATATGCACAAACATTACTAATGGATGGGTACATAATGTTGATTGCAATTCTGAAATGTCAACAGCCTCTTTTTTTGGAATCATGGATTTTGGCATTTGTGCATTTTAGCTAATTGATGCATCATCCATTCCATCCTATTTCACTAAAAAATCTTATTCAACAATTACCAAACCTCAGAGTTGCCTTCGCTTTCATTCACGAGTTACCTTCAGTTTTTAAAACTAATTCAAGTGTGCAATCTAAACTTCAAAGCCCTGAGATAGATTATAAACTTGGCCATGGATGATTGCATTTTGGCATTCGTAATCACGATATTAACCTTTTAACTTTTTACAGATTGTGTACTGCATGGAGAAGTATTATGTATAACATGATATTTTTGTTCTGTACAGTTGTGTAAATGTATGCTGAATTTTTTGTGCTCTGGATTTTAAACTGTAGGTAAATTTAGCAAATAATTTAACAGATAACTCTGCACTGTTTTGCTTTTGTATTGCTTTTGTATATATGTTTCTAGTTTTATCTGAAAAAAGTTTTGCAAATAAAACGTAATTGTTGTAAGCTTCACATTCTAGATTTACAGTCGTTAAGTATTGGACATTTTGTTAAAAAGTGCTATAGTGACTTGTTTCTTGACCTGGAATGCGTATTCAGTGAGCAGTTTTGTTTTGTTGCCTATCAAGTTATGGAATTTGAAGTGTATTCTCTTTAACCTGGTCTTTATATTGTATCTGCTTTTAAATTCTCAATAAAAGTAAAGAAAAATGTGGATGTTTGAGTGATATTCAATGTTAAATATCAACATGCTGAATAAAAAACATTTGTGATGTGCATTGTCAGCATATACCGTATGAACGCTCCAAAGTCTGTTTTTTATATTAAGAGCCAAATACTGAGCCACATTTAATTGAAAGTAAATATGTACCTTAAACCCATTTTGAGAAGTGGAGTTGAAAAACCAAGATAAGCAAAAAAACACCTAGTCCAGCAGGTAACGATGTCGAGACTAATTAACCGAAGAGAAGAAATTAATGTCACCACTTTAAATAATGCTGGCATCGTAATAATGTTTTGAATGTTTAGGAAAATGAAAGCAAACTAATTTGTCTGAAGCCACAAGATATGTTGGCAAGGAGGAACAGCGAAGACTACACAGACATCCGTAAAGCAATGAAGTATGAGACGCTACATTATAATGAAACAAAGATTGAAAATATAGCAAGCAATGGGAGCAACAGCAAAATATGCGTCGATGATTGGCAACAACAAATGGAAGCCCTTTGGCATGAAGATGGAAGTATAACTAATGATTTTTCTTTAGCATGGATTCATAGCAGCAGATTATAGATGTAATTTTAGATTTGTTATCCACTCAATTATCTGTTCAGACGCAGAGTGGATTTCGTCCGTCACTCCTCTAAAGGAGTGCAGTGATGACGGCAGCTGTTTACGATGCGGTCCGATCGTTGGGGAGATTTGTGGCCGCGTTCGAAGGCCGCCGAATCTTCGATGGCGCCGTTTGCGGCATCCCGTGGCCCTATCGGCCCCACGGCCCGCTCCTGATCCGGTTGATGGTCGATCATTGGCGGCGTGGAAGTTTGAAACCGGTAGGGTCGCTGTACGAGACGTTGATTTTTTTCGAAGTCGGTCGCAGTCCAGCCTCGCTGCCATCTCTCGTCTTCATTTGGGGCTCGGGTGTGAGGCTGCTGTGATCCAGAAAAGGGTGTTGTGATTTTAGGCGAACAGGTGGCACTTGGTTTCTGTCCCGATGTATCGATCGGAAGGTGCGCGGGGAGGGGGGGTTAACGAGAATGTTTTGGTTTTTCTGGACGGCCGCTCTTTCACGACGGCATTTGCGGCGGGGCGATGCGGGGTGAGCACCGGGAAGAACTTGGGTCGGCGTCGACTTGAGCGTGGCTGAGATGGCCACGCATTGCGATGTTCATTGATACAGAATCTTGAAATGAGTGGAGGAGGAACGCTGTGCAGATCTCCAGCAAAACAGTTTCGGTTTTCAATTTTCATTCATTTGGTATAGCCCTGTGAGCCATTCGGCTCTTGAATCGGGTGCAACCGCACAAAACAAAAAGATGAACAAGAAACATCTTAAAGTGACTCCGCGCAAACAGAAAAATCCAGGAAAAACAGCAAAGTCTTCTAGAAAAAGCACCGTGTATCAATGCTGTGTGCAAAAAATCCCAGTGGGATGCAAGTCAAACAATAACAACCATAAGACAATTTCAATTAAAGTTTTCAGTCTAACTCTGTACAACAACAAACAAATATGGCTAATCCAAAACGTTTTCGAAATCACCAAAATAAAGCTATAAAACAATGTAACAGTGATCATAGGAACTGTGATTGAAATGTAACAATAAACGATATACAAAACATGTACGACCAAACTTTGCAGCCATAGCTGGCAGCATGAGTCACTCCATAACAGCAGAAGTATCAGTAGGAGTATCAGATGGCCACGCATTGCAATGTTCATTGATACAGAATATTTAATTGAGTGGAGGAACGCTGTGCAGATCTCCAGCAAAACAGTTCGTAACGACCAGGGATCATATGCCATCTCTGAGACGTGTCATACTTGAAGGAGTAAACTCTGCCCTTTGCGGTATGAAAAAGGGCAAAGCTGGACCTGCTGCTAAAACGTTGGATATCATCAAAAGTGGGACCAATTGTTATTAAGTGATCAATAAACCTTTGAGCCATTGGCCCCGAAATCACTTATCGGTACCCACTCGGTGTGACAAATGTTATAAAATATTTCCTGGAATATGTTTTTCTCTCGATCACAATGATGTATGATAGCAAGGTCAAAGTGGTAGCTTTTGATGAGAAATAGGAACTAAAGATACGTTCTACGGAAAACATAGCTTTTGAAAGGTATCGTTTTGCAACAAGAATTATCATGCGACTATGAAACACGTGCAATATGAGTATACACGGGAGATGTTTATGTGGTGGATACCGCAATGGTGCATGAATGACTGTGGTAGCGTTCGTCATCATCCCATGTGGTACCGGGCCAATCCCTTGGCCCACGTGCTTGTTGGTGCTGCAATTTAACCACCAGATGGTGCTCCAGGCATTCCCATCGCTCTGCTTTCCACATATCTCCAGCAGCTATCGTGCGCCTCAAAAATACACGAGGTTAAATATTCTGTTTTCGTCACAACTGGCATATTTTGTGTCTGCATAGTATCCGCCTTTAAAGAAGTGAAAGACGGCAGCTGTTAACAATGTGGTCGATCGTTGGGGAATACGTATATGTGTCTCAGTGCAAATATTGTATTGTGGACCGAATAATAATGAAGTGGGTGAACAGTATTTACGTTACGATGTTCATCAGGTGCAAGCTTTTGAAGTTGGTGGTTTAAGGATTCAGGCTTTCATCCCACCACAACCGTAGTTCTTGTACCGTATGTACTGATAAACACCGGACTACAATCCTGGACTCGTGGGCTTGGGTATCACTCGTCATCACTGGTTGGTATCTGAACCTTACCTGGGCCTCACTTAAGCCCCCCCTCCCCAGCCTAAATGAATGGTCACGGTATGGTCCGTCACCAGGGAGAGAAAATCAAGTCAGGCATTTGGTACTGGACACTTTCCTGGATAAACAAGCATTATAAATCATCATCATCACCACCTTACGTGCCTTCCCAGGTACTTGCTAAAAGCACTTAGCAAGAGTGTTTATGAGGCTATTAATGGGATTTTTGTGCGTACATTAGCACACTATATATGGTGTCATTAAACCTTTAGTCAAGATACCTATAATTTAAACACAACACATTTGTCAATAACAATTCCCTTCAAGGGACAAAGGTGGCATTTCTGGGAATGGCCCTTCTTTCAAAGTTAAATTGTGCTTGTGCACAAACTGGCAAATTGTGGCAATGCAAGTACAGTATCACAAGAAAATGTACGTCTTAAATTATCGTTAGGCATTGTGGCAAAACAAACAATTCCAGGATTTTATGAGACGTGGCCACACAAGTAAAGCCCGCATACATATCAACTGGTGCAATACCATTTGCAGCATCGGTTAGTATGGATGCTTACATTTAAAATATAAGAAGATTGTGTGTTCATACCTGTGGCTGAATAAAACGGCTAAAAGAGACAGAGAGACGAAGGGAAAACAATATTTAAAGGTCAGACTTCTTCGACAGGCTGACATTTACTGCAGTGATCTGGGTCGTCGCGGGGCCGTGCATTTGATGCCTGTCCGATGTGACGTGAAAGAACATGTCGAAAGCCAGGGATCGATGGTGCTGGATGGCCTGTGGCTGCACCAGTGACTCTGCAAGCAAGCAAATATTGCACACTCGGGCTCCACGCAGTGCGGGACTTGCTGCCCAATGGGTTCGCATTCAAGAAAAACTGATTTAATTGAGCTCTACGCGAGACAAATGTTGCACGCAACGATGAGTAAATGCTGCTCGAATGTGTATGGCACCAGCATCGGAATGCTAAACTTTGTAATGAAGTGATGAAATGTGTTGCACGTACCACTGCATGTCACTTAGGCAGGCTAAATGTTGAGCATGCTAGATTTGTTGTTATCAGCGTGTCAAAGTAAATATGAAGTTTTAAATAGCTCCATTTATCATTCTTAAATCGCTGCTCCACGTGTTTTAGTTCAGTATCGGATGCTCCGACACGAACTATATCAAATTACTGATGGGTAATTGCTGTTGCAGCATATAATAGATAATCATGATGCTTCATCGGGAAACTGTCACGTTGTGATGGTAAGGCTGATTCCATGGGTTAAGGTTAGAACAACCCTGCTGTCGTTCGGAAATTAAAATGGTTGCTCCCAATCTCGAGCCCGTGGACTGTTAACTTCTCGGTGTCACCAATGGAAATGTTTTAAGTAGCTTGGCTGTTTCACCTCAAGGGTCAGACGCATTTTCCTATGAAAAATTACGGAACGATAAGGCAGTGTTGAGAATTGGTACCCAATATCTTCGTGTGTGCACTGGGCGGGAGACCCCGGGGCGGGCCCGGGACTGTGTCTCTGGGCTGGCCTGGGAACGCCCAGGAATTGCCCAGAAAGAGCTAGAGTCGGTGTATAGTAGTGTAGTGTATAGTGTAGTGTATAGTGTATAGTAGTGTAGTGTATAGTGTAGTGTATAGTGTGGTGTATAGTGTATAGTAGTGTGGTGTATAGTAGTGTATAGTGTATAGTAGTGTGGTGTATAGTAGTGTATAGTGTATAGTAGTGTATAGTAGTGTAGTGTATAGTGTGGTGTATAGTGTATAGTAGTATATAGTGTAGTGTATAGTGTAGTGTATAGTAGTGTATAGTGTATAGTAGTGTGGTGTATAGTAGTGTATAGTGTATAGTAGTGTATAGTAGTGTAGTGTATAGTGTGGTGTATAGTGTATAGTAGTGTGGTAGCCCTTTAATGGGTGGAAGCACACCACCAGAACCATCGCTGCCCACTACTACCATCACCTCTAGCAGCAACCTCCACCGTCAACAGTGTGAGTTTGTAACGCGAGATGCAATGATTACCTGGCAGCCCTTTAATTGGTGGAACCCCACCACCAGCGTCGTCGTTGCCCACAACTACCATCACCTACATTAACATTAGCTGCCCCGCCCATGCTGATGACACTTGGGCTACGCCATTTTTTAAATCCTTTATATTAAGTTCACTTGCTTGCTTGCTTGCGCGCTTACGACTGTGCAAATCTTTCGGTCGTTTTTGAACCCACTTCCCGTGATCCAATCGAGCTGAC